ATATATTAATATTTTTATCATCCACGTATAATATTGAAGTAAAACCGACGCGTGTGGATTTTTGTTTTAAAGCCGCATGTTTCCGTGAACGAGAATTGTCGTCTTTGTTTTTTTGTCCACTTCACAGCCGTTTGATTAATCAATTAACGCAGACTCGCTATTATTAACCGAGATCGCCGCGATCAGGCTTCCAATAATGTAAAAGCTTGCTAATTCAGAGCTGAGATGAATCACTAAAATTTGACAATTAAAGCACACAATATACTTACTGGTCACAATGATTTACAGTTCATGTTATTTTTCTTCTATCGATACCAAATTCACCGTTGCAATCCACCAAAGATAAAAACACAGCGCTTTTTCAAAAGCTTATTTTGTCTCAGTGGGTTCACGTACCAAATTTTCCGAAACATGTTTTCAAGGTTCTCGCATTAAAATTTTTGCAAGCGCATGGTCGTTGCATTGTTCAGCATAACAAAAGCACGAAAGTATAAGCAAGTGAAAGAAAAAAAAAACAAATTTCAGTTTCGTAAGAGCTGGTTTTTTCTTCTTCTTATTTTCTGGAGTTTCGTGTGTTCCACTTGCTGAAAATAAAACACGATGCTTAAAAAAAAAAANAAAAAAAAAAAAAAAAAAAAAAAAAAAAAAAAAAGACAAAAATAATTATAATAATAATACTCAAGTATATGAAACGAGCAAAAGAAAGTAAAGAAAGACAATAAGAAGGTATTCTCTTGGAAAAACTGTGGACGGGGATGGGGGTCAGAGAACTGGGTCTTGCACTTCTCGGCGGTAATTGGCCTCTTTTGCTCTTGTCGGAATTTAGGGGAACTGCATAAATACAGCATAAACAAGGCATTAACACGGGACACTGGAATTCCGGGGCATATAGAGTTTCGCGCATAATGGCATACCCACTGTTTTTGTTTCTCTTTCCTCCATTCTTCTTTTCTTTTTTTTTTACCATACACACATTTTAGACGGACAAAAAACGAGGGTGATCGTTGTAACGATAAGAAAGTAAGTAGGTGATCAAGCCAGAGAAAGAAAACTATGTTGTTATTTGAATTTTATTTTATTTTTATATTTTTTCTTGTCGAAAAAAAAACGAGCGGACAAGGGTTGACGAAAAAAAGTAAGAGGTGCACGCGACGACGCGCACTTACTTACCCGCATTATGTATACAAGCGAGTCGAGCGAGCGGCGAGTCGAAGCCCGGGGAAAGAAAATTTGATTATTCGACACATCACGTGCTTAACAATATTACATTGGGACGGAAAAAAAAAAAAAAAAAAAAAAAAAGAGAAAACAATCGGGATGACTTTGTTGTCACGTGCGCAACGACAATAACACGATATAGTCTACCCGCGTCGGCCGTCGGTTTAACTATAATGAGGTCTGTTTTCGTAACTTTGCAGTGACGACGCCGTTATTCACGCCCGCAGTGGGTGTGGCCGCGTCGGCTGGTGGACCCGGAGGCACTGGCGGCGCCGGCGCCAGGAGTTACGTCGACCCCCACACCTACGAGGATCCAAACCAGGCGGTCCGCGAGTTTGCTCGGGAGATCGACGCCGGCTACATCACTATCGAGGCGATAATCGGTAAGTACGGTTTATTGTATATATACCCATACGTTGAACCGAGCCGAAGAAGGTAAGAATCAAATAATTGTGTGTGTGTGTGTGTGTGTTTTGGGTTAAGGTGGCGGAGAGTTCGGGGACGTGTGCCGGGGCAAGTTGAAGTTACCGCCGGACGGCCGCTCGGAGATCGACGTGGCCATAAAAACACTGAAACCGGGCTCGGCGGAGAAGGCGCGCAACGACTTCCTCACCGAGGCCTCGATAATGGGTCAATTCGAGCACCCGAACGTGATATTCCTCCAAGGGGTCGTGACGAAGAGCAATCCTGTGATGATAATCACCGAGTTCATGGAGAACGGTAGCCTGGATACTTTCCTGCGCGCGAATGACGGCAAGTTCCAGGTGCTCCAGCTGGTCGGTATGCTGCGCGGTATTGCGAGCGGTATGCAGTATCTCGCGGAGATGAATTACGTGCATCGGGATCTCGCGGCGAGGAACGTCCTCGTCAATGCCGCACTCGTCTGCAAGATCGCCGACTTTGGCCTCAGCCGCGAGATTGAGAGCGCGACGGAGGGCGCCTACACGACGAGGGTCAGTTGTTTTCGTTGTTTTTTTTTTTTTTTTTTTTTTTTTTTTTTTTTTTTTTTTTTTTTGTTTCTCTTCCTTGCGTGGACACGATACAGGCCTCGTTTGCACCATGATCAAATAAAATTTAAAAGCCGGATCTTGCCGAGAAAACCCGGTCTTTTTGAAGTTACGTGTATGCAAATGCTAATGTAATTGTCGCATGGTAACATTTTTCTTTTGTTGCTCGCTTCCACATATGTACATGTATCCACAAAAATGATGTGTACACGTATTGGTCTTGGCAATGGGTATTTTTTACACACCGATGGGCCGCTCCAGTACGATCGAAAAATACATATCGAAGGCAACAAGCGGCACAACATCTAATTGACAATTACCGATCGACTCTGCAAATACCCCTAATGTATATATCGTACAACCTACGCACGCCTGATACTATACAAACTGGTATTATACATAGCAAACACGGGCGGCTTAATTAATACGTATATTTATACGAGTAGCGTACCACC